GTTTTATTGATATTATCTTAAAAAATAGTATTAACTTTGTAAATAAAAGCATTTCTTATTCTTAATATTTGTAAACTGAAAACAAATGAGGCATTTGGGATTGAGAAGCACTTTGGCAAATTGTCCTGTCCATGGATGAATTATTTTAAGGAAATCCCTTATTTGATTGAGCAATTAGATTTGTTTTCCCAAGGGGTGTGAGAAGGGGGATGTCACAATGGATTTCAGTTGTGAATAACGACCGGTCAACTTATCTATAAGTCTGGGCTAGCGGTCAAGGGTGAGATTTCATTTCGAAGGGGTGGCTGCTTCTTGACCGCCGTTCCCTGCGGGGATGTTTTCACTTAATTAGACCGGCTACTTATCACTATGACTTCTTGCCCCGTTGGATTTGCGAAGATATTAGTCACAGCCTATGTAAAGAGGGTCGGGAGAGGGTTTTTTTTAAACATGTTCCAATCAGATCAGAACAAGGGGCCGGGACGAATTAAATTTTAAACTTTTCAAATTGACCAGCCTAAAAACAAAGAAAATGTAATTTAAAACATAAATTATTGTTAAATAAAACTATTTGTTAAAAAATTTATTAACACAGATATTAGGACATGTTGTAAAAACGCATCGGTCACAGCTTGTTTTTTCTCTCCTTTCTTCCTGTTACAAGGACAGATGAGTATAATGCGGATGAGGATGAACCGTGAACAATTTGACCACGTGCTATCGGCGGAACGGTTTGCGAGAATATTTGGGAACTTTTACAGTTTTGCAAAGCTGGAATAAAATGAGTCCATTTGGAGACGATCAGTCGACCTATATAAACTTTACAACTTAGCATAAGTGATAAGTAACTAAATTTAGGACTATTGTATAATATTGCAAAATTAAGTTGGCTTTAATGTCATTTTAACAGGGATTCCATTCAAGAAGTAGACAGCTAGCCATAGTTTCTTTTTAACAGCAGTTTGAAACTTTAGCTTATTTTCTTGCTATTGCTGCTGAGGTTACGCCTGGATATTTTATCAATTTAATTGTTGGAATTAGTTTAAGTGGTTTATTATCACCGTAGTCTGCGCCTTTCCACACCGATTTGGACTGTCAGGTGCGTTTCAACATTTTTGGACCATCAACCTTTTGAATGGGTCTGTGTACTATTAAATAGAACAAGCAGCAATATTGCATAGGCAAACATTTGGCACCTAACAAAAAAGAAACGATCCACAAAATCACTTTTAGACTAACAGTTGAAGAAGGATAGAAGGCGAAACGCGTCTGACAGATGCACTCAACGAGATTAGGTTACTTCTGACTTCGGCCATTAGTGTAAAAATGAATAAAAGGAAACGTGGTCTTCCTGAAATTGAATTTAATTGTTGGAATTGAATATTTAGTTTAAGAAAATAAATTTTGTACAGTTGTCATTTAAGATCATCCTGGTCTGCCTGTCCTGACGGATATGGCCTACAAGGCGCGTTTCGAAATTTTCTGACCATCCACCTTGGCTCTGCGTTTCTGTTCAATTAACTAGAAGCAGTATAAATTGCATAGGCAATCATTTGGTACATAAAAAAGATAGGAATCACAAAGTAAGTCAAAGACCGACAGTTGAAGAAAGATATAAGGCGAAACGCGTCAATAGAACAAATCAGCGAGAACAGGCGGACCGCCACAGAACCACACATAAGATCTTTCAATGTTGTTGATACCGAAGTGTTCAAAATTGACATAAACATACTTTTATAAAAATGTATAACGACATTTCATTCTTTGACGTCCGACATTGTCCATTAAAGGTAAAAAGTCCGACGGGGTGTTTGTTCTTCCTGATATTTCTGAGGAACCCTACCTTTTTTTATGGTCCTTGGCAATGTTTGGACTGTAATTTGATGGCATCTTTAAGCATGTTTTCCTCTGATGATGACCTTAAAATGTCTAAAGCTTGGCAGCAAGCACAATAGAATTTGTTTTTCATACAGATTCACTCAAGAGTTTTCTGATCATCCGCCTTGACTGTGGGTCTGGTGTAACTACAGTAGAAATGGTACATAAAATGGGTAATGCAAGACAGACCAACGGATGAAGACGTAGAGAAGGGGAAACGCGTCTGTCATATTAAATCAGCGATGATATTCGGAATTACAGAAGAAGAATCACCACACGAATCTTTCACAAGATTACCGAAATCAACATTGACAGAAAACTGACTTTTATAAATATTAATTAAAGATCTTTCAATATTTGACTCTCTTGTGTGTCTGTTCCAACTGATATTTCTGAGGAAACCTCCCTGGCTATCTTATCAATTTAATTACCAGAATTGAATATTTTGTTTAAGCGAGGAAAGATTTTTTTGTAGTTAAGACGTTTCAGATCATCCTGATTTAACTGTCATATCTTGGTCCTTGGCTATTTGGGTCTGTGATATATAGCCATCTTTAAGCTTGTTTTTCCTGATGATGACTTTAAAACGTCTAAAGCTTGGCAGCAAGCAAAATGGAATTTATTTTTCATCCAGATTATTCGAGGGTTTTCTAATCATCCGTCTTGACTGTGGGGCTGGGTGTTGTATAGGGAGGCCCTTGGTGCATAAAAATTACTGCAAGAGAGACCAACCGATGAAGAATGAGAGAAGGCGAAACGCGTCTATCATATTAAATCAGCGATGATAACCAGATCAATATTACAGAAAAAGAATCACCCCACAAATCATTCACAAGATTGCCGAAATAATCACCATTGACAGAAAACTGACTTTTATAAATATTAATTAAACGATCTTTCACTCTTTGACCTCCGGCAGCGGTCAGTAATGTAAAAATGAATAAAAATGAAAAAAGTACGACGGGGTGTTTCTGGCAGAGCTATTACTCAAAGGAGAAAATAAAACAAAGCAAAAAGCAATAAAGAGAAGTGAGTTAATAAAAGTCAAGGGGGAGGGAAAATAATGGGCTACCTGTTATCCCTTGTACTAAAACCAGTAGGATAAAAGTCCCAACGCAATTAATGAACATGTATTTTCGGGAGGAGGAAGCTGTTTTTAATTTGGATTGATGACGGTCAAGATTGAAAAAAAATATATTAAAGGTTATTATTAATTAATCAAATCAGTGATGTATAAGAGAGAATTACAATAGCACTATTGTAAGCATATTTTATCCAAAACCATAAGACTAGTTAAAAACTTAAAAATACTACCTCCAGCTAATTAACGATTTTTACCTTATAAAAATTAAAATTATGCCTTAGTCAAAATTAAAACAAATTAAGCGATATTACAGCTGACCAATTCGAAAAGTTAGGAAGTCGGCTCAATCGAAGTTCCTAAGAAAAAACAATCGGTGGGTGTTATTACTATTGAATTACCCTCCAGTCCAGTTTGTGGAAAAAATTTGACTCCATTATTCGCTCCAGCGTAGCGTTTCTAACCATTTGTTTAGATTACATTTTTTCACCATTGAAGCCCCCACAATTGAAAAAAAGCGTACTCCCGATGATTTCATTGAACTCTCCTTTGGTCAGGGATTCCTAATACTTGTACGAAAATAAATAGTTAATAAAAAAAAATAGTAATAAGATTTTTTTTAAATCTTGAATTCTAAAGTAGCTTTCATATACAATATAGGCATATTATGGACGTCGAAGAGGACTTTTTGTTCGGATAGTCTTTTGTGCAGTTAATAGTCACTTATTTTGGCTCTACTGACGATTTTTCTGTACGATCTTGATTCAAAAATTGATTGAGGTCTGCCGGCGACGAATCTGTATTTTGGTCCTTTCCGACGCTTTGCTCTGCCTGTCATGGTTGTTTTGGTCTGTCAGTTGTTGGTTTTGACCAAAATTATTATTAAAAAGTGAAGATGGTGAGAAGCCAAAATTGCAAGGATAGACAGGCTTATTTTTCATCACATGTGTATATCACCTGCTCTGGTGTTGCTAGACTTGTTTTACTGTTTGTTTCTGCAAAATGTTCGCTACTCCGAAAAGGGCTTGGTAAGTAGTAAACAAATATACCAGCATATTTTTGACCTAGCCAACACCATACTTATAAAATATTCTTAGTAACCAAATATTCAATATGGTGCACTAAGATTCACTATAGAAAATTTTATTTCTCGATTCACTCACTACTCGACAAACTTTCTCATATGCTTTCACACTTCGAATGCAACAAAAAAAGTTCTTATGAACCATGGTCCAATTATCATCCATTTCGCAGAGATTCGACAATTTATGTGTTTTTTCGACAATCTACTTTTTCTTCATAAATCTACTCGTAGCCCTATTCATTTTTTAGGAAAGAAAGTTCAATTTCCTTTAAGAAGGCCTCCCTTCGATAAATTTCAATTTCAATTTTGGCAAAAAACAAATATCAGTATATATTTTATTATTACAAATATTAAATTCAATATAATTAAATAAACAAAATGTTGAATATCTGCGAAACAGTACATGCTTACGGACTTTTTTATTGCATTTCAGGGTGAAGAAGCACATGATGAACTTTGTCGTTCGAGTAGTGAATCACCCTCCATGACAAACAACACACTTATTTCGGCAAAATAATACAAAAATAAATCAATATAAAAAAGAGTACTGAGTTTTTTATATCGGCAGGAAGAAGCCTAACTTTGGAGTAAATGGTTAAAAACTAAAAGATAAGCAGTAATCCTTCAAAGCGAAAGGTTAATCAGAAGAATTACATATGTGCGAATACAAATATATAGGTATAGATAGTTAGTGTTTTATGCATCACGTGCCGTGCCAAAGTAACATTCTTAGCTGTTCAGGAAAGCAGGGGTGCAAACGAAGTTGGAGGAATGAGGTAATTTAGCCATGGCCCTCGCCCGAAAGGCCCCCTAAACAAGGGACGATTTCGGACAAAGGAATAACTTAGACGGAGATGCAGGACAATAGAACCAGCACAAGACGAAGTAATGTCTTCATACAAAGGGGAAGACGGTCGTGGCTTATTACGCTATGTCCGAACCCGGAGTCTTACTTACTTTGAGTTTCAAGTCCCTCAGTGTGTCACTGGACGAGATGGTCACCTGCCTCTCACCCCGGACTTTGCGGTGTCTCGTCGACCTTCGAATGGACGTCTCGGTAAGTTCGCTGGCCCCGTTTTGACGTGGTCCTTTCGCTTTATTCTGCAAAGAAATAAATTAAATATTATTATTGTCTATACTTTATAACAATTAAAAAAACATAATTAGATGTTTTGTATTGACGTTGATATCGAATTTAGAAAAGACTTTGATAAACTGGCATAACCAATAATTACAAGCATACCAAATTTTAACATTTTTAACGCGAGAATTTTTTTTTTATTCAATTCATCATTATTGATTTTTGAATATGAATGTTTCTGCCTTAAGTTATATAAAAAGCAGGTTAAATCCATATCCTCGTCTCTTGATTTTACGCACAAGGTAGTGCCTTGCCTCACCCTGTTTATATCCCTATCCTCCCTTTTTGTCACTTTACTAAACTCAGAACCGAATTACGAGAATATTAATGTTTCTTCTTAAACAAATAATAAAATAAGGTTGTATTCCTTATAAATTGATAAGTTCTGATTTTAAAAAAGTGACAAAAGTTAAGGATATAAACAGGGTGAAGCTGGACGCTGGCTCCTATTTGTGCATGAGAATTGGTTTTGTCTTTTAATCCACCTTATAATTACAATATGTCTCAAAACTATGTACATTCTATCAATCGGTTTTTCTGCGATAGTTAACATAGAAAATGGCGAAATTTTGAATTTGACAAACTTAATAATAGATAAAAGGCTGGATATTAGGGATATAAACAGGGTAAAGCAAGTCGACGGCTCTTTCGGGTTGTACTAGATGTGCTTGTGACAGGCGCGAACGTTTTCATCCTTTTTTTTTAAATTAGATCAAAACAAAGCTCGAACAACCAGATGTTAACATAGTACTATAATAAATATGTATAATAAATTGGCCATTCGTTTGTTTTTTCTTGATGCCCATGCGTAAATAAGTACGCAATATGTGTCAATGCCTAAATGTTGCAGGCACCGACGCCTCCTATTGTGTGTGTGTGTGTGTGTGTGTGTGTGTGTGTGTGTGTGTGTGTGCGTGTGCGAGTGGGGAGGAGTGGAGAGGAGAAGAGAGGAGAAACGTCAAATACCTGAATTATGATAAAGCGACTGTCATGATTTTAGATGACGTTTAATTTACTACGAGTTGAACTTCTTGGACGCTTTTCTACACTTTTTGTTTTTACTAAGTTGTGTGTCTATTCGCACTTGGGTGAGGCGAACCTGATTTACTTTGAAGTACCAAGTGATTTTTCTATAACCAGCTTCTTCAAAAGTGTCTCATTCATGTACTGATGGTAGCTCTGACTAACAATAAAGTCTACATGTATTTGTTTTAATTGCCAGAATTTCATCATTCGACTTCATTTTCGTTCAAGTAACATAAAACAAACTGAAAGAACACGTGGTTCATATATGCCAGATGGCGCTGTGTATGGGCTATATGCTAATGCTATGCTTGAAGGTCGGAACCATAAGTCAGGAGAGAAAGTTGTCATGCCTTGGCCCATTACAGAGAGCCTGTAGGAATGCCGCCAAATTTAAGATGGTTCTCGACACAGAAGCCGGTTTCTGAATCTCCTGTTCCGCTTTTGGAGGACGTAGGTTTTTTTATGGTATATAGGTATGTTTTATATATTTTCTGATTACATGTTTTGTTTGTGTAACTGTATTTATAAGTGTGAATGTATAATAATACAATAGCGTTACCATCGTCCCTGTAGCAGTGTGTGTCTTAAATTAAGATTTAAAAAAGTACACCCCATCGACCCTAATTTAGATTATTAATACCGTGTGTAGGTCGATCGAGGAATATCGAGTACTCCACTGACTAGTCACAATGAGTGCAATGTATGAATTTATTTGTGCGACTTTACTATAGAATTTAGTTAGTTTTAGGCTAGTTTGCATGCGTTTGAGCCCTACGATGTTGGTTGTGAAGCGACGATCTCCTGGGCATCTGCTTATGAAATGATACTAGCGACACAACCACATAACCGGGTTTAATCCCTAGGGTCAACACATCTGGAAATGAAAACGTTCTGGGTGAAAGTCCTAATTACAAACAAAAATGTAAAACAAGAACAAAGAAAGTGATTCAAGACAAGGAAATATTTGAAAATAAAAGGTAACGAATATCATAAACAAATAGCAAAGTTAAAACGAGTTTTTCTTACTCGATTTTGAGCTTTTTTATTTAAACAAATTTTAATATGTGAATGATCTAGAAAAAAAAATTATTAAGAATTTACCTTCGCTCACACAAAAATACTGACTTGATGAATGAACGGGATAGATTTGGAGGTCCAATTTTTCTTTTTCACGGGATAGTTCCAGTCCGAAAAGATTACAGCGTTACAATGATTGATAAAGGACGGCGGGTAATTAATTATTTTAAGTAAACGGTGCCTGAACCATTTTTTAAAGGCGAGATGTAAAATTACCGTCCTGTCCGGTTACAAATCGAAGCGCGGTTACGACGAGGCCGTACTTTAAGGCAAACGTGTTATTGTGCAGCATTTGCATTGTTGTAATAGAGGGTCGATGAGTGTTTGTTTAGTGGGGAATTAGTCGTGCGGTTAAGTGAGGACTTGTTGCTTCTTCTCGACCTTTGATAGGTGTTAATTTTGTGTTATAAATCCACGTGAAGTTGAATATTCAGTTAGAGATGTGTATCTTCGCTCCCGCACTAATGGCCGGTAGCCGGAGTCTCCTCCCTTATTATCTCAAGATATTATTTATGCCTCCGGTAAGTGTCCACCTTCGCCCACCTAATTAAAGAACTCCTTATGAATGGTCTCCTTATCGGATTTATTTAAATGTGACGCCCTCCTCTTGAATTATAAATGGTATGTGCCTTAGGCGGTATCTGTTTTCGCAACTAAGAGTCTTGGAAATAGGCCTCCTCATTCTTGAATATAAATACTGTATCCTTTTATGGGCATAGCATTTCTCTATTTTGCAATTTTCAAGAAATGATCTTGCTATTTCCCATTTTAAACAGATTATATCATTTCAAATGTTACGAACGACATCTTTATGATCGTCATGATATGACTTTCATTATACGATTCACCGAATTCAAGCAAGTAATACTGCTAAGAAATTACCACTACATGGGCGATATACGCTATGCTATGTTTGGAGGTCGGAAACGGGGTTAGGACTGAGACTGGAATCTTCCTATTCAAGTTCTCAGTTACAGCGAGGGGTTTTGGCCGGTGTAGGTTTAATAAGTATGAAACATTAAATAGATTTTAGTTAGATATCACGTCCTCTACGTTAACAGCAAAAATATAAATACAGCATAGCAACTCTGATCTTCATTAATCTGTACTTGTCAATAGTGGAAGGTTTAAAGGATCGCAGAAACTAACAATAAAACTACTAATCCTAGGACGTGATAAGGCTGGAATGATAACTGATTGCTGACTGGGCACAGCACTCTGCAGAAATATATGTATAGACTAGGAGCAGCTAATACGAATCTGGGCAGATATTGTCAGGCATTGCTTTCCCGTATACTTACTTAGTCGTCCTTAAAAGGACAATGAGGATCTTTAACGTCCGCACCTAGCCTTTCGGCCTTATCGGACGTTATGATTCTCAAGATGAGAGCTGACGCACCTCCGCACACGACAGAAGTGTGTTGCTGCCGCAGCATTGGTGTAGAGGCAGCTCAGCCCCGAGGGGCCAAGACAACCACGCTCCCCGCTTGCCCATTCTGAGTGGTCGGGCCCGCATTGAGCATCGACTGTATAGCCGAAATACATCAGCCTGGTCTCCCGCGCACTCCCTTGATAGAGAAGGCCACTCTGTCTCCCAGAGTATTGGGAATCCCCAGCATAGAAACTACCGGATCCTCTCCGGCCGCGGTTTTGTTTAAAGTGGAATTGCTAACCACCCCCTAGAGGAGACCGCCTACGGTATAAGCCGCCAATCGAGCTCAGCCTACACCTGCGTGCAAAGAATACTCGAATAGGAGCAACCGATTCACTACCCATTTCCATCCGCCACTACTCACGCATTCGACTATCAGCGTAATCATACACAACGCTTATACGCTTCGGTCCGATCCGCCGTATCCCGTGAGGCCGGGTGTATAACGACAGTCCTATGCAAGTTTCATGCGAAAGTCACAGATAAAAGACAGCCTATTCTCTAAGTTCTCGGGGGCGCCACCACGAACCACTACGAGTCCATTCCCAATATAACAGGGGCTGAATTTCTGTTACCCCGTAGTAGAGATGGTTATGCACCCTCACCCGTCTATGCAGACAGGATCTGGTAACCTACCCACGTGTGCCTCTGATAAAGCACCCGCCGCCCCCATGGCGACCCGAGGCCGCACGAGGACGGCTTGTGCTTTAGAGAGGTGGCCACACCCTCAGGGCTGCACCATTATTTTGCGCCCGGACACCCCCCCCCCTTGTAACCAAGGGTCACAGGGAGAATGAAGGAAACTGAATTGAGAGAGGGGCGTGGATGAGGACAAGGGGTACACCTTTCTTGGGCACCGAGCCTTAACCACATTGTACCACCCGTCGTCGTTGTAGTTCCACATTAAGTGGGCTACAACTCCCTGAGTGGATGATATTGTCAGGCAGAAGAGAAAAACGGAATGTGTTCTCTGCTGGTGCGATCTCTAAGGTTCGAGATTCGTTCTGTAAGAGGAAAAGTCATGTCCTGAAGGATACACGCATTAACGAAACATCGGGATTTGATTAAAAAAAAGATAGACCAAGGCCAGAGGGGTTAAATGCCTGGGTAGACTCGTACCCCATCCCTAAAAGGTGCGGGACATGGTCGGCTCACGTGTCCTGCATAAAACTCTTGGACTTGTTCACAAACCCCAAGATTTTGGACCATTTTATCTCAGGGAGTGATTTGGTGATGTCCTCTACTTCAAAGATTTCTAATCTAGACCTAGCATACCTATCACACTCTGCGAAGTAGTGCCTTGCCGTTTCTTCTTTTATTTCGCAAAAACGGCAAAAGGGATCTGGTAGAATACCCATTACGGAGAGGTGTCTTCTCAGTGGGCAGTGGCCCGTCTGAATACCTATCAGGCTCCTAATTCCCTTC